GTTTGGCCAGATCTGGTTGTTAGGTGGCTTAGGTTGTTGTTACTGTGGAGGTTGGAGGAGGAAAGAAAAATAGTGATGGTGTGCGGTGGAGATGAAGATGGGTGAGGGAGAAAGTATGTGTGATTTCGTCGGCAAAAATGGCGACGATGCCGGCGATGGCTTTCTTTTGGTGGTGAAATAGTGAAAGAAGGGAGAATTAGAAATGCCAATAATAATTAAATGTTATTATTTTACATTTTTATTAAATAATTTTGGTTAATAATTTTTAAAATAGTTATGAAATAATTATGATGTGGCATTACTATATCTGATGTGGATATGACATGTAAATTATATAAAAGAGAGTGAGCTACACACATGGTTGGAGGGGCTTAAAAGTCTCATTTTAATTGAGTTTAAGGGTCCAGATGACAAAGGGGTAAGTAGAAGGATTCAGAATACAAACGGATACAAGTATAAGTGTCCACCAGACCATTTCGCCAAACTTTAATAGTTCTATACTTCTTTTGGAAAACTTTGTTATTCCTTCCAATCGATATATGATACGTATCAATAGCTAGAACCATTATATATGTACATTTATCTATGTTATATACCCTTTTTAATACCTCTCGCTCCATTGGGTTTCCTCCCCCAATATATAGGTCTTCCTACATGTCTTATCAATGGAGAAGTTTTAGAGCATGTTTGGATTGGCTTAAAAAAATAGTTTTTAAGTCAAAAATAAAAAGTCAAACTGAAATAGAAATAACTTTTAAATCAAAAAATAAAAAGTAGGAGTAGACCTACTTTTGATTTCTGATTTATTTTAAATCATTTTTTACCTTGTCAAACTCTTTATAACTTATTTTAAGTCATTTTTGACTTATTTTAAGTTATTTTTTATATTTGTCAAACACTTCCGGAAGTCAAACTATATTGCATTTGAAAGAAAACATGTTGCATAGCCTCTTCATCTTGATTTCATAACACACATATTGGTATTCCCTCTTTCATGTCCATTAAAGCAAAAATAATGTGAATTTAAAACATGTGATTGATGGCATTGAGTCTAATATTGCATATGTAATTTTAGTGCTTTAACATGTTTACAAACAAACTAATTAACATTGGCTTATTGTGAGAGTTATGAAATATGTAGTCGGTATTAAAATTTATTTACTTATTTTATACGTCCTTCAAGCAGTCAAGTGTTTATATCAAAATAGGTCTAACCTTCATTCTCAATGTATGGAGGCACGTGCATTCTTGTCTCTACAGTATGGTATATATACTTATATCCAATCCAATTGGAAATCTTAATCCAAAATATCAAACTAGCAAGGATAATATTATAAAGTCGGGAGGAATAGAAATGACATTATAGAGGGATAAATGTATAACTTGAAGGGCTAGGAAACTCCTTTAGATTAATAATGATAGTTAGAGTCGATTGGAGGAGGTCTCTTAACTCTTAAAATGATTCAAGCAAGTCATTAAACTATTTGATATGAATCCTCTTAACGGTAGTTACTTAAAGTCTCATAGTAGGTGGGTCAAGTCCACTGTTTTAATAGGTGAAAACTTGAGCTAATAAACATTATGTTTATATGTAGGGGTGGATCTAGAAATCCAAGTGCGAGTTCAGCCGAACTCAATAATTTTTGCTTAAATAAATGTAATTTTATCTAAAAATTCTCTAAATATGTATAAATATTAAGTTTGAAAATCAGTAAATTAACACTTGAAATATTCATATTAAAATTTAAAATTGATAAAACTGAAATTTTGGCTCCAGCTCCAACTTGTATATACTCGATGACTTTTCCGATATAGATACTTTATATGGTGATTGCTTTAACTTCAACTATAAAAAATGACTTGATTGAGGTGTTTATTATTTTAAATATCTTATTTTAATAAGTAAATTAATTCCTTCAATTGATCTGTCGTTATAGTATGGCTGCTATCGGTAAAATAATTCATTCCGTTTTCAACTGTTTTAAATTACAATACATGATCAAAATTAGAGCTATCAATATGGGCTAGCCCACCCCATTCGGGCTAACCCATACAGGCTTTCACATTTTACAGGTCAGGCCGGGTTATCCCATTTTTGGTATGGGCCAGAAAACGGTCGGCCCAGCCCACAAGTACGTGGGCTACAGGTTTGCCGGGCCAGCCCTACTTTTTTAAAATTATTAAAATAAATTATAAATTATAATTTAAAAATATTATCATAAATATCGACAAAACAATATTACATGGTGTTAATGTTACTACTTGTTAATCAAATCCACAAATAAAATTATCTTTATAATATTTATTAAGGTTTTTTTAAATAAAAATAAAAATATCTAAATAAAAATATTAACCTAATTGTTTTGTCACATTAAAACACAAAAAATGTGACAATATTCCAACCATAAAAAAGTTAAAATAAACTCCTTAAAAAAATCATTAAACTTATGGCGTATCTAACACATCATGAAATCTATGACATATCCAACACTTCATGATCATCTTCATCAAGTATATCTGAATCAGCTTGTGGCAAGGTTGTCTTAACATCTTCATTTTCATCTGCAATTTATATGCGGTTTCAATTAGTTAAATATTAAATAGATTTTGAGTTTGGACGCTCTTTAATTTTAAATTTAAATATTATATTATATTTTTTAAATTATTTTTATTTGGCCCACGAGCCGGCCCTACCTATATTTCTCAAGCCCCACAAATCAGCAGACTTATTCAGGCCGGGCTAAAAAGCCCTTTTCTTAAATGGGCTCCAAAAATCTTAGCTCAGCCTTATTAAATCCCGAGTTAGGCCAGGCCGGCCCAATGGGCCTAGCCCATATTGACGGCTCTAATCAAAATAGACCATCAATTTTTTTATCTATAAAAAAGGCCAAACACATATACAACCCCTCTAACTTGCCCTCATTTTTCATTTTGGCACTCCAACTTAGCATTGTTCCATTTTAACCCTTAAACTCCATTTTTTAGTACCATTTTAACACGAAATACTATTTTTATGTTTTCTTTATTTTTATATATATTCTTCAATTGCAACTTCTTATTTTAAATCGACATGTGTCAATTAATTTTAGTTTAAAAAAATAAAAAATAATTCTTTTTAAAAAATCATAATTTCTTTTTAAGAGTTTTATGTATTTTTATGTGAAAAATAACCAACGAAATTGTGTTGATTTTCTTTCTTAAAAATCGCGGACAATCTAACAAATTCAAGTCAGTCGAGTTTTAACATTTTTTAGTAGTGTTATTAGCAATGAACAAGAGTCTTTTTTACTCGTGTTGAAGATGAGTTTTTTTATTCGCGTTGATTTTTATTAAAAATAAAAAGTGAGTATTTGCGTTAAATTTAGATAGCCTAGATGATAAGAAATAATAAATAAGTAGTGTTATTTAATTTAATTGAATGTTTAAGAAAGAAAATCAAAGAACTTTCATCAATTTACTTTCATGCAAAAATACAGAGAAATCTCAAAAAATAATATTATTGTTTGAAATTTTTTATGTTCGTTCGCAAATGTTTAATTTTTTAAAGAAAATTAACAGACACACGTCTATTTTTTAAAAATAAAAAATTGCAATTGAAGAACATAAATAAAAATTAATAATAATAAAAATTAGTATTAGTAGTTTAAATGGTACAGAAAAAATGGAGTTTAAGGTTAAAATAGAACAAGACTAAGTTGGAATGCCAAAATGAAAAATGAGGACAAGTTTGAGGGATTGTGTATGTGTTTGGCCTATAAAAAAAGGGAACGACTCACTGATATGACATGTATATCACCAAGAATACATGATATAGATTTATATATATATGCCAAACACATATGCAACCCCTTAAACTTGTCCCTAAATTTTATTTTGGCACTCCAACTCAATCTTGTTCCATTTTAACCCTTCAACTCTAATTTCATAGGAGGTGGAACGCTTAATAAAAAGTTGAGAGGAGTGTAGAAAACACCCCTAAATTTGGTAAATATTTAGGAATGTATTTCACTCATGTTACAAGATCGAGGATTAACCAAATAAAAAGTATTTTTAAGAGTGTCAATAGTTCAGAAATGAAACTAATAATTTGTGTCAAATTTAAAAATATTTTTAATATTTTCTATTTAATATTTAATATTTAATATTTACATTGAAGTTCAACTAATCTAAATTCACGCTCTCATACCATGGATAGTTTTTTCAATTGAACACTCATCTTTAGAAATGTCGTGGAAGTTCCAACTATAAGTAGTTCCCAAAAAGGTCGTAATCTACTTCTAGAAACACCAATAACATGTCCACACAATTACCAGCTCTATCTAGTAGCTCTAAATTATATAAAACCGAATAATCACCTTTTTTCCATATAGTATACCTTTTCGAGTCATCCTTGTCTGCGCACGTGGGTTTGTATATATCAAAATTATTTTTTCTTATTTTATCTACTTAATTTTGTTTTTCTTTGTATTCGATATTTATTTTGAAACACGACTAATTGAAAGTCATGTTAAAAGAAATCTCACTTCAATGATAAGGAATTTTACATCAAAAGTAACTTTATAACTTAAATTCGAAATTTCCAATTAAAATAAAAAAATATTTACCACTCCGTCATGTTGATATTCTTGATTCATTGTACATAGTTCTCTTATCTATCAACCACATAACGTTTGCGGGTCTCCCAAGTATCTATCTCTCTAATTAAATTAAAAAAATTAGAACCTTCCTAAAACCTTATTTCCTCCAAGTTTCTCATTTTTCAGTCAAGACTTATTTTCCAATCCCTTTTTGTCCTTTTTTTCTTCATTATCCCCTTCCAAGAAGCAGCCTCTTTGTGCCTATTTTTTCCTAAATCAGTACCTATTTATACCTCTCAAACAAATTCCATTTCTCATTCACTTTATCATCGTACTATTAACTACTTTCTAGTTGAAATCTAAGGCTCTGCTGATCAAGTTAGTTATCGTAAACTAATTTGAGATTGAGGCGTAGTTATGATAATGAACAACAAGAAACAAAAGAGAAAAAACGATCATAGATCGAAGAAGCCAGATGTCAAAGTTGTGTACATTTCTACTCCGATGAAAGTTAAGACAAGTGCCTCGAGATTTAGGTCACTTGTACAAGAACTCACGGGACGGGACTCGGATATAGAGAGAATTATGGAGACTAATGGGTCGATAACGGAGTATGAAGATATTCATCGTGAACGCGATGATTTTAATGAACTTCCAACAAAGTCGTCATCACTATCACCATCACCATCATCGTCATCGTCTTTGCTGCTAGCAAAATCATCTAATTCATCTCCTATGAGTTCAGAATCTAATAATTATTTTATGGAGCCTAATTTTGATGATTTATTTAACAGCCAAATGGAAGAGCAATTCCTTGCTTTATTGGCTTCATCAAATTATAATTTGCCACCTAGTAGTAGTGATTATTCAGCTGAGATTGATGTACTTGGAAGCTATGATGCACTACTTTAGATTTATTTTGTTTTATTTTATTTTTGGATAATTAGGTGGGTAGATACGATCGACTTAATTAAGAGGTGTATGTATGTATATATGTATGTATTTTTTTATATGCTAAGCGGATATTGTTTAGATAGTATTGTATCATCAGTATAACTTATATACTACTGTTGTATACCATAGGAGTTGGAAAGATTCGATTACGAAGGGAAAAAGGAATTATAAGTAATAAATATTGGTAGTAGAAAAACTTTATATATATTTCGGAAAAGGGTCAAAATTGCCTCTGAACTATGTGAAATAGACCACTTATACCCTCCGTTACATTTTGAGCTCAAAAATACCCTCACTCTTATCTCTAGAGACCACAAATACCCCTCAAAAGTTAACAACCCAAATTTTTAATGACATGGCAAGCCATGTGTGACTGATCCTTCCACCTAAGCTGCCAACTAGGATTACCACTAACTTTTAAAAAAAATCTAAATCTCCTAAAATTGTATTAATCCAACAAAAAAACAAGAACAAAGTTAATATTATCGAGCCGTAAATTTTCCCTCATACATACAGAAGATATAGGTATGTTATACAAAAAATCACCCTATCAAGTTAGATATATTATATATTAGTTATTTATCAAGTGGAAATATACTTGGTTAATAGTTAAACTACGATGAAAAAATAACTTTTAACGGCAATAAATATAAATATTAATAAAGAGTGGTAAATATTTACGTAATTAAAAATAAAAGGTTTTTAATTAAAAATATAAATATTTTTATGTAATTAAAAATAAAGATTTATTTCTAATTTTAGAAGGATTTCTAATTGTTGGAAATCCTAGTTGGCAGCTTAGGTGGAGAGATCAGTCCCACATGGCTTGCCATGTCATTAACAATTTGGGTTAACTTTTGAGGGGTATTTTGTGGTCTCTAGGGGATAACAGCGGGGGTATTTTTGATCTCAAAATGTAACGGAGGGTATAAGTGGTCTATTTTCGCATAGTTCAGGGGCAATTTTGACCCTTTTCCGTATATATTTTCTGTTTATTTACGAGGTGTATGTACCTGTAAAAAAATAATTAAAATGTGAGATTCATAATTTTTAAAATAAGATAATAAAAATATGATGGGACAATGCATATAATTTAAAATCGAAATTTTGAAACATTTCATATTGCCGATAATGGTTTAGATTAAATTAACTCTCACTAATCATAATGTAGTTTTTTTTTTTTTAAAATCATTGTGAAAGAGACTGATTCCAAACTAATAATGAGACTGCGTACTTGCAGCTGTTTGATTGGATTATATCACTTAATTTAATCAGCATTTTTCTAATTAGTTTCAACTATGGATTGGCCTATAGTATATTATATAGTAGAATAAATATTTTAAGAACAGATAACCAATGGATTAACGGTTTGTTTTCGTTGATGATTTATGCGATAGGTAACGTGTGCCTTGAATTAATTTCATGTTGATCTACAATTAGAAAAATTATCATTATTTAGTTATACCGCTTAGGGTGTCAAAAGAATATGAAAAATCGACCGAATCGACTGAACCTAACTGAATCAAATCAATTTATGCCATTTTTTTCAATAAAACGTAGATTTTTATTTAACTGTATAACCTTTCCGAACAATTGGGATGGTCTTTTTAATTTATGAAAAAAAATTCGAACCGAACCGAATAACCTTACGTGTATGTAATATATTTTATATATATGTTAAATTTTAAATATAATCTAGTTCCTAGGTCTCTGGTGAATAGACGACTTTGAGTTTTGATCTTTAATTAGCCTTTAATTAATTAAGTTTAAAATTGAAAGATATTATAATAGATACTATAATAAACAATACGGCAAAACCTATCCAAGCACTCCTATTAAATGTTTAAGATCAAACAATATAGCAACAAGGTTTTATATTCTTGACTTCTTGGTGAAGAATTGAAGTGCTTCTTCAAGAACATATCTACGAAAGAAGTATTTTAATTATATAATATATTTTGAGGTGATATTTTAAAAGTAAACTGAATTGTACCGATATCGAAAAGAAACCGATATGATTTGGATGGTTTTAAAAAATCTAAGTTTGGTTATACATTATAAAATACCCGAAGAATTGAAATGGTATAATTTTTAAAAAATAACCGATCGAACCGTCTCATTGACACCCCTAATATCGCTTCGTGATAAGAAATAATGCTAGACTACTAGTATATTTGTAGAAGAAAATGAAATGAAAAATAAAGAAGTGTGGTTTTTTCAAGGCATAATACATATATTGGACCCTAAACTTGGCTTCAAATTTCAACTTTGACCTCCAACTTTCATAGTGCACAAACAGGCACTTTAACTATCCAACCTTTTAATAAATAAACACGCGATTTCTGGAGGCAAAGAGCGTGAAATGCAAACGCTCCCACGTGTATTAGTGAGCCACTCAGTGGCTGCCAACTAATTAAATACTTGACACGTCCATTTTAGAACTAAAAATAAATAAATTATTTTTAATTAATATACAAGGGTTATAGCTCTTTTTCCACAATGACAAAAAAAATTAGAAGCCATTTGCACTAAATATGAACACAAATCGTTTTAAAAGAGAGGAAAAAAAAATTGATTTGAAAGAGGAGGAAAGAGAAATGAGATTTTGATTTGAAAATATAAAGATATATATAAAAGGGATTGATTAAGGGTAGATTTGTCATTTCAGCATTTTTTTACTATTGTGGGTCTCGAAAATTACTCCTAACTAGCGCAAAATACGTGCACATCACGCGTTTTGCCAGGTAGGACACGCGTGTTTATTTATTAAAAGGTTGGATAGTTAAAAGTGTCTGTTTGTGCACTATGAAAGTTGGAGGTCAAAGTTGAAATTTCAAGCCAAGTGTAGGGTCCAATATATGTATTATGCCTTTTTTCAAATTAGAACTACCTATTAAATAGAAAATATTGCAGATAAATGTAATATCACATTATAATATGTTGTTTACCGATGACATAGTTTTAGTTGACTAGACTCGCAGTGGAGTTACCGTCTGGGTGGAGGATAGAGACAAACTTTAAAGTCTAAAGAGTTCAAATTAAGCATGATATGAGCTGAATATTTGGAGTGTAAATGCAATAATTTGACACATGAGGTTGGTGTGGAGGCGAGACTTAATGCATATGTCACCTTCAAGAGAGGAAGTTTCAAGTATCTTGAGTCTTTAATCCAAAAGAAATGTAGAGATCGATAAGGATGTGTCACACATTGTATTAGCACGAAGAGGATGAAATGAAAGCTCTCCGCTAAAGTTTTATGCGATAAGAATGTCCATCGAAACTTAAAGACAAGTTTTATAGAATGATAATCAGGTTGACTATGTTACGTTTGACAGAATGATGGACAATAAAGAACTCGCATTCAGAAGATGAGAATTGCAAAAATAAGGATATGTGGACATATCAGGAGAGAAAAGATCAAACTAAAGATATATAAGACACGTTGGAAGTCATCTCTTCGGCGAACAACATGAGGGAAGTGAGATTGTGATGGTTCAAACTTGTGAAGAGGAGATGCGTAAATGTCCAACTAAGGAGGTGTGAGAGATTGTCAATGATTGATTTTGGGAGATGTAGAGATAGGTTGAAAAAGAATTAAGGAAAAATAATTAAACAAGTCATGATGCATCTCTAGTTGACATAAGACATGACTTGGATAAGAGGCAGGGGCAGACACATGTAGCAAGTTTCAGGTGCTCGAACACCCATTGATCCCGACGAAAACATAGTATATGTATATAAAAAATATTGAAAATTGATATAAGATACTCGCGAGCACCCATTAAACAAAATGTCTCATGGAAGCTTTGGTTCTGGTATTGGATTCTAAGGTCAGTGGCGCCCTCTAGCGAGGGTTCAAATCCCGTTAGCATCCAATATTTTTTGTTTGAAAGTGTATTTACTCTTATTTTTAAACATTTTCATTGTTTTTTTTAAAAAAAAATTGTTTTTCAACTTTCCTATTTTTTGTATTTCATTTACCAACTAAATTATAAATATATTAGTAAACTTCTAGAAAGAAAAAAAAATTGGCTAGCAAGTTTATGTTAAATGAATTGAGCACCCACAACCGTCAAATCCTGAATCCGCCAAAGGTCAAAGATTAAGGCAAAATGTTAGTAGGTCTATGTGTTGTCCTGCTTCACTGCGAGACAAGCTTGGTGCGTCGTACATGTATTTTCTTGTGTACCAATATCATACGTACTAGCCCCACAATTTTTTGTCTACCGAGTTCTATTATTGCATGTTGTTTTCTTTCCTTTGATTATCACATTATCTTGTTGTTGTAATCGATCTTTTTCTAAATGCCACGGAATAATTTCTACCTTATTTTCTTTGATTATTTTACTATTAATTGTTTTGACTCGTGTTACTCGAGTTGAAGATCTTTCAAAAATAAATTCTACCTCTCCCAAGGAAGAAATACAAATTATATATACTTTATTCTTCTCAAGTTCTACAATTGGAATTAGATTGAATAGGTTACTTGCAAAAGTTGAAACGCAGAGTATCTACTTTTGGAGCAAATTGTTGCGACATTCTTTTTCGGAATGGAGCACTTCAATTTATATACATGTCATGTACGTAACTGTTTTTTATTAAAAAAAGAAAAGAAAAAGTAACAACCATTCTTGAACAACTCAAATCATCATAATTTATTTAAAAAAGAGAGGCTAAAAGCATGTTTGAATTGACTTAAAAAAAGTAACTTTTAAAAAGTAATTTTTTTAAAAGTACTGAAAGTTATTTTAAAAATAAGTAGTTATGTGTTTGGATAAGAGTGTTGTAGTTGAAAAAAAGTTGTTGATGTGTTTGGCAAATAAGTGTTGTTAAACACTTTTTTTTTTATCAAAATGTCTGAAATACCCTTAAAACTGTTAACATAATAAAAAGTTGATTAATCTAAGGTTTTTATTTCTAAGAAAAATTAAAACAAAATTAATTTATATTTTAATTCA